TTACTTGAACAGGGCAGCCCTGAATCTATTTAGCAAGAACATGAAAACAGCAGTTGAGAATTTTCAGGTATGCATGGCTAAACAATACCAACATAGCAGATAAGCTAGCTAATTGTTTATGCAGTTGGTAAAAATTACTCTGTGGTTGATAAACAAGTTTAGGAATACAAGATGACATAAAAGGATATGTTCAAAATTATTATAAAGTTTAAGTGAGGTAAAAAATGGAACGGTGTACAAAAAGTGCATTAGCTTATTTTAAAAAGAATTTCCATGAAGCTTATTGAAAAAGCTCAAGCTTTCCATGTTGGCTTTACCAATCAAAATTTATTTGAAATGCTTTCTTTTATTAAGCTAATAACTAGCTTGCGGTTTTCCAACCATAGCATTGGCCTTTTCTTTGGTTAAGTTCATCGTCTGGAACATACAAATGGTTTTAAGTTCCTTTCGGAAGCATGCATTGAGATTATGTTCCTCGCATTGTTGCAGTTGGTCCTGGATTCTCATCGCTGGGTTCCATTGCCAGCAGTTGGGTTTCCTGCTAGCAGCCTGGGTGATGAAAACCATGATGATGTTGCTCCTCCAAGTCTAATGGAGCATCCGCCTCTTGCTGTTTTTATTAATGGTAGTATTTCCACGTGCTTTTGAACTGGACAAAGGCTCTATGCTTTTAGGAAATGAATGAAAAGGGCATAAATATATGCATTTTATTGCAGGTGTATCTGCTGCAATGAATGATTTGCGCCCTTGTGCCCCTTTGAGCCTGAAGCACGTGCTTGCTCAAGAACTGGTCAAGGGATTGCAGGCAGTATCTGATTCTTTACAGAGATATAACATAACTCGCATGCTTCGAGAGAATGAGTCTGTGCTTTTCATCTCACTCTGTCGTGAATTTATTGAGGTGCATTTATCATATAACTTGATTTTCTTTTTAATCTTAAAAATAGTGACTAGGACTGTGACTCACTTACCTCCACATGTTTCCCAGGTCGCCTTTCCACATTGTGTCACATGCTTCAGTCGCTGTTACCCTGGTGGCGCCCCTTTAATCGCGGATGCCAAGAATTTATTTGAGGGAATAAACAAGCTATTGGCAACCTCCTCTCCCTCCCGAGAACTACCCAAACCGATTCCTCCCACTGTTGAGAACAAGAGCATATCCGACAATGGGAACTTGTCTTTGCAAAACGGTAGCAGCAGCGAACAGAGTGGTGGGGATATGAACTCTGAGGAACAAAACATATCTACTGTCGCCGAGGAAGAAGCTGCCGATCCATAGTACATTCGGCACCTCAGAATGTAAGTCTATTGTATATGAACATGGCACCAATCAAGGTTCAACATGATTTCTCTTCTTCCCTCTTATCCCATATTCCCAAACCTTTAAATTTCTTGAGGATTTTAGCAGAGTGTGTCCCATCAGGTTGGCTAAGAGTTAAGACTACTCACTCCTTCCAGGCGGGAGAGTTTATAGTTTCCATGAATATATATATTTTTACTTGGTATTTGCACTAATTTATTTATTTATTTTTTTGTCTGCAACTGCCAATGTCATCTACCACATATAATGCCGATTATAACACACTTGTGCAAGTAATGTGTTTTGGTTTCATTTGTTTCAGCTCCGTCATATATGAACTGTTTCGGTACAAAATATGAAATGTTCTCTATAAGGTATAAGAAGGTTGTAAGTTAATGTTCTTATCATATTTGGTTTCATCTGGAGAAATTCGGAATGCATATCGAGGGTGTTTACTAAGGCCTTGTTTGGGAATAGTAATTTCAATTAGCACTAATGTTTGGATAATTTTTTAAGTGTACAAACAACTTCCAAAACGCTAAAGTTAAATGTTGTGATCAGATAATCTTTTCAAAATTCTAAAGTTAAATATTGACCTTGTAGCCAAAGGTGCCTTAAACTTAGAGCATCCACAACAATAGCTTTTTTGGATTTTCTTATTCTCATCCCCCCCCCCACATTATCAAACCAAAGATGTGTTCTCTTCGTTTGATCTTATTGATTCTTGTCTTGGTTATTTAAGGTTTAATTTGAATCAAATTGATTTGATTCTAAGTAAAATTAAACTTCATAAAATTCTATAATGCCTTTTAAAATTTGGACCCAAATATTATTCATATTACTTTGTAATTTTTAAATACGGAGTATACTATATTACTATATAAAATTTTAATAATTTTCCTTCGTTTTTTTTCTCCATTAGCTAATAGAGCTGGCTCCCTTTTAGAGGCCACTCAACTCCCTAAGTTTGCGCCATTTTTGTTAATATCATATCTGTCCTCTAAAAATTTCAATAACGTTATTTTCCACATTTCTTAAATTTCTTTTCATTTTCACATTGCAAATTACCTTTGGTGCAGGAGTATATGGAGAAAAACGGCTTACTTCATCCATTCAATAATCAAGTTCTCGTTTCTTTTATCATGGAGTTGAACTTGAAATTATGAGATTACAACTTATGCAAATGAGCGAAATAATGGTTGTGTTTAGAAATAAAAATTCTCACAAGGTAAAAAAGAGATGAGCATTTTTATATACAGAGTTTTTAAAAAACAAGACAAAAAAAACTTATGAAAGGTTTCACAAAAATTGGATTGGACAACGGTTACACTACAGTGCATGTCAATATGTGCCGTAGTGCTTCATTCGTAAAATTGATGATTTTTACCTAGCCAACACACAGACAACAAATGTTCGTGTCTGTGTATGCCTTTGCACACTAGTGCATCAAAATAAGGTAAAATCTTGGTTAACCACTAGCATAACCCAAAAAAATAGTACACCGATCATTTGATATTTGTCAAGTTTTGATATTTTACAGTTAATAATTTTTAATCATTGACCTATAATTAAATTAAATATATATGGTATATTAATTAGATAAAATAATACTTTATTTTAATATAAAATATTAATTAGATAAAATAATACTTTATTTTCACCATTTTTTGGCTTTGGGGTGTGATGGAATAAATCAAAATGGATCTCTAAACTGTCTGCGCTTCTTTAATTAATGAAGTAGCAGTTAGTCAAGTAATACAACTTTCGACGTTGAGCTGGGGGTCTCTTTGGAAACAGCCTCTCTACTTTCGAGTAGGGGCAAAGTCTGCGTACACACACCCTCCTCAGATCCTACTCTTGTGGGATTTAACTGGGTTGTTGTTGTTGTTGTTGTTTATAAAATAAATTGCATAAAATTATTTTTGATTTAATATCTATTATCACTCTTATTCAACTTGTAGTTAAAGTTTGTCAATTTTGATAGAAAAAATAAAAAATAGATAAAATATTCAAGATGGGAAATAGTAACACGTGAATGTATTATATTGTCAAAAATTGGGTACGCTTGTACGAAGTTGTACCCAAGAGTTTATCTACCACACATTTGTTGTGTGAGTTAAAATAACCAAGGAGTTGATAGGACTTGATACAACCTAGTTTGTGGTTGAGAGGGAGAGTGCGGGGTACAAGTGGTACAACTGTATGATACACATTGTATTGCAGTATGTGAAGTACTCCCTCTCTCCTCCGTCCCACTATATTTGTCCACTTTTATTTTTGCATACCATCTAATACACTTCTTTAATTCATTTTATCTTGTAATTTGTATATTAAAAAATTATAGAAATTATATATTAATAATCTATATGTTAAGACAAATCAAACAAGATCATGCATGACTATATTTAGGCTTACACATTGAGAGAATTTGACGAGTCAAAGTGCTTAAATGAACAGTTCCAAAAGTCAAAAGTGGACGAATATAGCGGGACGGATGGAGTAATAATCATTTTAGTCCGTGTAGGTGTATTCACGAGTCAATTTAGTTTGTGTAAGTCTGGATGAATTAAATTGTTTACGAAGTATGTAATTAGAAAATGTGAATCAAATTAATATTTTATGTGAAATTTATCTTTTAAAATTCTAAGTGAGCATATTAATTGACACAAAATTACCACACGAGGTCATTGCTCTTCATAATATGATTATAGAGAATAACAAATCTACAATTTGTCATTACAACTCTGATGAAGAGGTGCCTCCCCAAGATTAAAATAGATGAAGAAAAGAAACGAAGAAATTACCAAGAAATTCGAAACCGAGAGATTCACGATATACTAACGGCGAATTAATGTGCACATTTTTAGTTTCAATTAATCACTAATGTAATTTTTAAGTTTTTTAGTCGTTCATGTAATGTGGGTAATTTTTATTTATGTTATTATTGAATTTTTTATTAATGTGATATTTTTTATAATTTAATGTACTTTTTTCTTGTATTTAATAAATTATTGCATTTTAAATTTAATTAATAAGTTCTTATTAATTTAGTTTTACAAAAAGTGCATTAAAAATGAAAAAAAATAAAAGTTTGAATCGCGAGGTTTTAAATCCATTTCGAGTGAAACAGTGAAGTAAGTTAAAAAGAAGTTAAAAAAAGATTTGAACCCCAAATTTTAAATTAGAGGCTTCAAACATATCCCCAATGGTTAAAAGTGATATTGAAGCAGGTGATAATGTGATACTCCCTCCGTCCCTAAATATTTGTTACATTTGTATTCCTGATACAAAATACCCCGTAGTATCAAGTTTTTTCAATTCATTTTATTTACATATTGGTATAGAAATAAAAAAAAGAAATTTACATATCAAAAAACTACATGAAAAGTTTTTCGAAATAAGAAGTGTCAAGAATACTTTATTTTATCAAATAACCAATGAAAACGTAGAAATAAACAAAAGTTTCCGCGACTGCTGAAAAAGCAAACGTTGCAAATAATTTGGGACGGAGGGAGTATACAAATGGAACTTATCCACCGAACATTTTTTTGGGAAACGCTTGGTTCACAAACTCAAACTTCACAAACTTCACAAACTTACAATTTGTGAACTTCAATAAAGAAAATTAAATAGTCTAAAATAATTTTAAAATGAGAATTTAAATCATAAATAATAAGTTTATGATACTTCTATTTGTAAACTTAGCATTGCCCCATTTTTTGTTGTTGTGGGAAAGCAGGTGGGGCAGGCAGGCGCAATGGATAGGGCGCGCACCCCTACAACTGGCTACACAAGCAACACAACCTCTTCGTCAATGGTAGTAACTTGTGACAGTGAAATCCGGGTATGACTCCGCTCCATTGTTAGCAGCCTGTCCACTTCCTCAACCCATTACTGAACACCCAGAACATGGATAGCTCGGCTCCGGAAAAGCTGATAGTCGTGAACCGCGACCCGGACGGCGTCGCATGGGTCATAATAAACCGGCCCAAGTCCCTGAACTCCCTGACGAAGCCGATGATGGCGGATCTAGCTCAATCCATCAAGTCTCTGGGCGCCGACGACTCGGTTCGGGTCATCATCCTTTCCGGGTCGGGCCGTGCGTTTTGCTCCGGTGTCGACTTGACGGCCGCCGAGGACGTTTTCAAGGGCGACGTGAAGGACGTGGAGGCAGACCCGGTGGCCCAGATGGAGATCTGCGCCAAGCCGATCATCGGTGCAATCGGTGGATTTGCCGTCACTGCTGGATTTGAGATCGCCCTCGCTTGTGATATCTTGGTTGCTTCTAATGACGCTAAGTTCATGGATACTCATGCAAGGTCTCTCCTCCTTTTCTCCTTCCTCATCTACTTATTATTGTCACCATTTTCAGCTGCACTCAAGCTGTTTGGGTTTATTCCTTAGACGCTATTATCCAGATTCGTCTTCAATATAGTTGTTAACTCAATGCTAATAACATTACGATTGTAAGGTAATGATTTTTATGTGGTGTAAAAAAATGATTTTGCTTTGGAATTTTCTTGGAAGTTATGTCCTCATTGACATTGTTGAGGATTACTAGCATTACTGAATTCAGGATTTTTGTAGGGATCATTGAACTTGGCCATAATATGCTTGGGTTGAATTACTCTTTAACACTTCCCCATCCCCCTAAGCCTTGAGTCGTTGGATATGCACTTCTAGACAAACAATCGAGTTAAATGGACCACAGGCCGTTGGATAAGTATTCCATACGGACGACTGGGGTGAAGACTAGAGCTGCTAGGAATGAACATCTAAGCAGACACGTCACACGTTGATAGACAAGGTGGTCCAAAACCGGCTGTGATATCATTATAAAACTTAGGATTGACTAGGGATCATTAAATTGGGCCATAAGGCCCTTGGGTTGAACCAAATTAAAAGATTGATTCCAATCAATTACTTAGTTCAACTCAAGAACTTATCTACCCATTATCTCCTTCTCACTTTTACGATATGGGATACTCTTTAACAAATATAAAATATGGTTTTAACTTAATAGGTCAAAAGTCGACCTGGTTAGTTACAAAAAGTTCAAATCGGACAAATATTGTGGGAGTGAGAGTATTTAAGTGTTCACTTGTGAGCTTAATAAACTATGATGCCATATTAGATTTTTGGAGCTTGACTGAGTGGGGAAGCAATGCGAAACCTTATACCCTATTGGTTGGTTTTTGTTTTTACTTTTGGTCATGTGAGATAGCTTAGTACTTACTGAGTGAAAGAAAATTTTGATCCACACACAAATATTCTGCAGGTTTGGAATATTTCCTTCATGGGGTCTATCTCAGAAGCTTTCGCGGGCAATAGGGGTGAACAAAGCTCGTGAAGTGTCACTAGCAGCAACACCATTAACCGCTGACCAAGCAGAGAGACTGGGTTTGGTCAACCATGTTGTCGAGAGTAGCGAACTCTTGAAAAAGGCCCGGCAGATTGCAGAAGCTATAATCAAGAACAACCGGGACATGGTGTTGAGGTACAAGGCGGTTATAAATGATGGCTTCAAACTTGATTTGGGACGTGCTCTTGCCCTTGAGAAGGTATACATGCCCTTAGGTTTCATGTTTACTTCATTTACAAGAACAACGGTGTGCTTGTATCTGACATGCAGTTCTTTATATTCTTGTTTTCCTTCTTCTGGTTCAGGAGAGAGCTCACGAGTATTATGATGGGATGACAAAGGAGCAGTTCAAGAAGATGCAAGAATTCATAGCAGCCCGCAGCTCAAACAACCCTTCTTCCAAGCTGTAGAGTTCTACTCTATTGTAAAACAAAGCTTTGGTCTGTACATTCAATCAATCAATCCAATGTATTGCTAAACAACAACTTATGTGTTGAAGTTCAACAAGTGTAGAGAGAGAGAGAGAGAGAGACCTTATTCCTCCCTATAAAATGTATATAGGCTGTAATACAATCTATGATGATCCATTACTTTTAATTCCAAAGATGACACCACTATAGACAATCACACACCACCAATAGTCATTGTGTGTGCAATAAAGATGGTTCTTCGACTGGATAGGGCTATTTATATCCCAAGGGTTTGTACTCCATTTGTATACCGCATGGGTGCACCAATATTTTGTGTTGGTGTAATGTTAATTTTTTTTAACGCACCAACACTTTGTGTGAGTGTAAATTTTTGTTAATGCATCAACATTTTGTGTCAGTGTGAACCATCAAGATGTTGATATATACCTTTGGTGTAAGTTTGAAGTACAAATTTTGGTGTAAGTGTAGCATGATCCTCTTCAATTTAAGAGTTGTGTTTATAGGAAAGAAAGGGTCCTACTTGATACGCACTTCCTCCTAAAACTATTTTTTCATTTATTATTCATTGTGTCAAATTTTATTTTCTTTGTTAGCTTATTTTTGTTAGTTATTTGATAAAAAAATACTCATGTCACCTATAATTTTATATACTTTTTTATGCGGTTTATAAATTCTCGGTATAAGTTAAATTAATATTTCTTACAAAGATAAATATTTTTTAATTTTTAAAAAAAATAAATATACAAAAAATTGAAAATTCAACGTGGATGAGTTAGGGTTTAAATTCAAAGTTTCGTGTGTATGCCTCCTTGAATATATATACCATCAAGGCCTTAGGTCATATTATCTTCATCTGATTTGAATTATTCTGATTTGATTAGAATAATCGGGTGTGATCTGATCTGTATATAGTTATATTTAAAACTTTTTTCGATCTGATAAAATCTAGTCTGATCTGATTCCAAAAGGGAATAGTAAGTTTAAACATATTCCTGTTCTTGAATATTAGTTGATGTGTCATTGAGCTTGTGCTCCTTCACCGCTTGCACCGATGGTGTCGTTCTATCAAAGTTGCAAGTGGTCTACGATCCGCTGAAAGCTAGATTCAAGAATAAAAATTGGTATGACATGACTTTTAGCTCATGTCATACTAGTGTATTTTTAGATCTAACTTTTAGTTCATCGAAGATCATCAGTGGCTTGACAAAGCTACAATATTTGTGTAGTTGGTGAAGGCGAGCAGATTGACGCCTTAATTTGGATATTCCACAAAGGGGATGTGTTTGACTATAATGTCCCCTTTTAAAACACTAAGCTGATGAACCTAGCTCTGACGGTGTATTCAATGAGGGATACATATGTTATTAGGGATTATTTGAGTTTAAAGCAAACTTGAGTCTAATTTCAACCATTAAGTAGACATTTTCTTTGAAATTAGTTCTTTAATTTAAGAAGGTTAATAAGAAAGAAAAAAATTTCACATGTTCGCATCTCTCATTCCTTTTATGCTGAGTAAGATGTAAAAGTTTTATAGATTCATTGTTATAACTAGAGTCTATGAATGACAACGAGTCGATTTGGTCAGATTTTAGTATATTGAAACCTGACCTGAGTTGAAAGAGGAGGGACATTTTAGTGATTTTACTGTTTTAACAAATGAAAGAAGAGGGACATTTTCGGTAATTCGATGGACTCAGTTTCAGGCAACCTTCTTCTTCTTCAGGGCTGAATTTTTTTCCCCGGCGATGCGAAGCTGAGGGCCCGACCTTCATTTTCGTCGCCGATTAAAAGCTCAAAGAGGGTTAAGAGAGCAGAAAAAAGAATGCTCTTCTAGTCGTTAGTCAGTCATCCGATTTTGCTCAGTTGGCGGCGATTCTGAAAATGAGTCGAATTAGGGGCTCTCTATGGCTGGCAATTACGATACTGAGTCTGACCATAACTCAGTCATTTTCAGCGTCTCAGGCGCACCGGAGAGATCCAGGCCACCCCCAATGGCACCACGGAGCTTTTCATGACGTCAAAGATACTGTCCGATCCGAACTTCGTCAAATGCTCCATTCTCGAGCTGAGGTATATGTTTATTAAACACCTATTTTGTACAATTCCCAAGCCTAATTCAGGCACTACGGTCACTGGAATTCTGATTGTGTTGATTATCTGGGTTAATGCTTAAAAACAAAGTTATTCTCAACATTACATATCTTGTGGATTGCCAAACTTTTAGAGATCCCATGTTTCAAGGATTTTGCTTCCTTCCATTCGCGTATACTTTGATCTCTAAAAGAGTGTTTTTTTTTTTGTTAAATTGTATAAATCCCGTCTCTTTAAAAGAGTGAAATAATGCCTTGCAAATTTATGCTTTGATCATTCAAACAACTTCTGTTTACGGGCATGTATGTGGTTGCAAACATCTCAAATGTTTATTCTGGCTGCCTAGCTTAGCTTGGTGTAGATACATGATGTTATAATTTTATGCAGGTCCCATTTCAAGTCCCTCTTGAAGTGAATGTAGTTCTAATTGGATTTAATGGAGATGGAGGCTATCGGTATACTGTAGATTCTCAAAAGTTGGAGGAATTTCTTAGAGTCAGTTTCCCATCTCACCGTCCCTCATGTTTAGAGACAGGACAGCCACTTGACATTGAGCATCACATTGTTTATAATGCATTTCCGGTACACTCCCCTGGTTCTTATGTACTTGTATTTTTTTGGCAATATGTTACTTTGCTGCTATTGCAAGTCTCATTATACCAAAACTTTTCAATCACTTGCTACAGGTTGGCCAACCGGAATTAATATCTCTGGAGATTGCATTGAAGGCAGCCATGGTTCCTTCTGGTACAGCAAGAGAGGTAATGGCCCCTACTTGTTAAAGTTTGACTAATTCTGATTATTCTAGTGCACTATTGTGAGCTTTTTGTCGATAAGTAAACCTTGTTTTATGGCTAGCAGGCTGACTTTGGAAGAGATGTGCCTTTGTTTGAGGTTGATGCGACTGGTGTAGAGCCAGAATTTCAGAAGCTGTATACATACCTTTTTGATATTGACTCAGGAGTACATTATGGGGAGGAGATAGACAAAGCCTGGCCAACTGCAGTTTTTATTGTCAATTTTGATAAGGTTAGTTAATCAGTAATCATTAATCAACCATGGCCTTGAACTCTTGAAGGTCTTCATAACATTGTAGTGCTGCTTATACTGGTGAAACTCTCTAATGATTTTAAGAAGGTAACGACCATAGTTTAGAACTTGTAGAGATGATGATGTTGCAGTGAGCGTGTGGTGTTTCACTTTGGACTTGAAACCAAATGTCGTTAATGGGTAAGAGATAGGTGTCAAACCTATCTCGGGTATGATATGGGAGGGTAGATCAGAGGGCATATTCTAGGAAGGTGGCGAGCATTTTGCTTGAGTGGAGGAATATGTCAGACCACGAAGGACATGAGATGAGTAGATGATACTGGATGGTGTCTTTCAGTATGGCCTGGTGCCCTGGTTGAACCTCCAGGTGTGTTGCAGAGATGAAAGGGCATATGTGAGGCGGCGGAGAATGTTTGGTGTGAGGGACAAGTATAACAGATCATGAAACACGTGGGATGTGGAGATTGGACACGGTGACTGTAAACCTCTAGGAGGACATGACTTGTTATATGAGTTGTTGATGCCGTCGTATTAGAGTTGTAGAGTCTTTGTAGGAGTTGCGCGGGACAGATGTTTGAGGTCGTGTTCTCTTCGCGCTGTCATGTTTTTGGTTGTGTCTAAATATTAGTGTATACGTTGTTTACCTTGTTTTTTTCTTTCCCTCGTTTTTACGAGATTATTATGAACAGTCTTTCACGTCTCAACTAACTTCGGTTGAGGTAAGGTGACCCCCCCCCCAAAGACCTGACTCATTCATTGTTTTTGTTTGGTTTGATTATTTAGTAGTAGTACTTGTTAATTGGTTTCCAGGTTAGGTTAGACCCTAGGAATAAAGATATCGATCTTGAAAGTTTGAAGTATGGAAGAATTTCACAACTTGCTGAGGAAGAGTTGAAAAAACAAGAAGCAGACTACATATATCGGTATCGCTATAATGGCGGTGGGGCTACTCAAGTTTGGCTTGGCTCTGGCAGGTAATTTTTAATGCAGTTTTGGCTTTTCTACAAAGCGCATTCATCATGGAGTGATCAGTAAATTACTGTCTTTGAAACTGATGCTTAGAAGTTTTAGACAATATTGTTTGCATGCATGCATATCACAACTGGAGAGCCTTAGGCCCAAAAAGCATGTTTGTATATATATGTGATAAGTAATCAAGAGTTTGGGCTGTAATTGACTGTTTTCATGGTGATTATTTCGTTCATATGATTGGCTGTTTATAATTAGTTCTGTATATTTTCTTTCAAGTGTCTTTCATTAATAAAACAACACCAACAACAGACCCAAAATAATAACAAGTTCCTTTCATTATTGATTTAGCAATTTACTATGGCTTCCATTGGGTGCTTTTGTACTAAACCTCTTTACACTATGTTTGGTTCAAATAATTTGGAAGGGAAAAGAAAACAAAAGGAGATGGAAACAATTTTTCTTGTTTGGTTAGAGAGGAAAAGAAAAGAAAAGTGGAAAGAAAAGATAATGAGAAGGCAAAATGCACTAAGAGGAGGGAAAACAAATTCTTATCATTTTTGTGAGGAAAATGAGAGAATACCATTTTCTTTTCTTTTCCTTTTGAATTGCCTGAGCCAAACATAGTGTTAATTTTCTATGTATGGCAAATGCATATAGACTATAACTACAACAAATGCATATACAATTGGTTGAGCTTCTTGGCATTCTATTTCAGGTATGTTGTGATTGACCTCTCAGCAGGTCCCTGTACTTATGGAAAGATTGAAACTGAAGAAGGAAGCATCAGTGCCAGGTCACTGCCTAGGTTGCGAAATGTAGTTTTTCACAATGCCGCTGGTACTGTTAGTGAGCATTATGCTCACAACATTTTTGTTGGGCAGCTTGCATCTCTAATTGCTACGACAACTGAGCATGTCATTGCTCCCGATGTTAGGTATGTGTCCATTCTACCAAATTTTGTTTCCATTTTTATCAGATTAACTTTGTTATTCGAGTTGAACTAGTAATTGTTTTATATGATTGAATGACTTGAATATCATTTGAGTAGATTTGAATTTGCATTCTTTCTCGAATATATGACCTTTTTTCTTTTATACGGAGTACTTGTTTGGCTTCATTAACTTTGTGCAGTGTAGTTTGTATGCATCTAGTAGTCATTAGTTAATAAACTTTCTCATTTTGTAATAATTGGGAAAACTTATTGATATTCTGTAGCAGTAGTAACTTCTATCACCATCACACCGTTTTTAGCTGTATTGTGCAGATCATAATTACTTCTAAGCTATAGTTCGCACTGTTTTTTGCGAGCAGATTTGAAACAGTTGACATGACTACAAGATTGCTTGTTCCAATTATTGTTTTACATAATCATAACCGCTACAACATAATGGAGAAAGGCCACAATTACAGTATTGATGTTGGTGCAATTGAGAATGAGGTAATGTTGTTCTGCAGTGTTTGAATCATCTTTGATATCATCTTTCAATAGAAATATACGGAGTAGTAGATTTGTTGCTGGATCAAAGAAAGAGGGACAGAGGACTGGAGGAGTTAGGATCTGAACCCAAGCCAAATTCTAGCTCACTTCAAAATAGTGCCCATATTCTTTTTGTTTGATAGTGGTGTGCCAGTTAGCTTACATATAAGCTACATCCTGCCCCCATATTCTAGCTCACTTTAAAATAGTGCCTGGCCTAGATAGTTGTTGTAATTCTTTTCGTTTTACACCTAAAACAGTGAACTTAGATACAAAAAAGAAACCCCAATCTAGTTTGGTGGATCGTTGAGGAATTTATGATTTTTGGGATTTGCATGTTACATTTAGCAGCACTGATGCAAATACTCCGTGCCATGCTAATGGTTTTCCTTTGCAGGTTAAGAAACTTGTTCACCAAGGACAGGAAGTAGTGATTGTTGGTGGTTCACATGCCCTACATCACCATGAGAAGTTGGCTATTGCTGTATCTAAAGCAATGCGTGGCCATTCACTTCAAGAAACCAAGAAAGATGGACGTTTTCACGTTCACACAAAAATGTATCTGGATGGTGCAATCCTTAAAGAGGTTTGACTATTAGATTTATCTCTCGTTTGTATATCATACCTTTCAGATTGGTTTAATGCAATTGCCTGTGGCCCATGGGCACATGGATAATGATTACTCATGTGTGAGAATGTCTATATAGTTGTGTTGTCATGCTCTGCACCTTGGGGTATCTTGACAGTCTTCTATTCAGTATTTCAATTTCAAATGGATGTTATTTTGCTCTAGTTTACTTTGCAAAATAAATGTTCTTATTCCACTTTCATTAAAAAATATTTGCAGGAGATGGAGCGATCGGCAGATGTGCTAGCTGCTGGTTTACTTGAGGTTGCTAATCCATCACTGGCAAATAAATTTTTCCTCCGCCAGGTTGGTGTTAAGAAGTTGGATATCTGATTCCATACCATACTTTTGTCNATTGAAACATAAACCTCTCTGGTCCACTTATGGCCAGAAATATGGAAAACAGAATAAGAAGAAGAAAGAATCGATGTATAAACGGGGGAATCTCTATAGGACCTATGGCACTAGAGTCATTCCAGTGTAAGCTCAGTTTGTTCATCATAAGCTTTTGTTTTACTTCAAAGCTACATTTTGTTCTTCATAAACAATAGTTGCATTTGATGAATGCAAAAATTTATTTCAGACGGTCTCATGATCAAATGATTAAGTTACTTTTTTTTCTTTCTTGTTGCAGTTTTGTGTTATCATTAGCTGATGTGGATGAACATCTTATGATGGAAGATGAAAGTCTTGTTTGGACCAGCAAGGATGTAGTTATTGTACTCCAGCATCCTAATGATAAAATCCCTTTGAGGTAATTAAGCTTGAAAAAACATACTGGATACCATTGTTAGGTTCATGTTTCTACTTGTCTGAAAGTGAGTTTTGAAGCAGTTGCCTAGCTCCAACTGCAGCATTTTTGCCACCTGGAGTTTGTGATACCAACTGAGTTGACACTGTGTTTTTGGCCAGCTATGTTTCGGAACTGGAGAGAAGGCATGCTAATCCATGGCAAGTGGAACGACATATAATCGCAGGGGTGGCATCTGTTGTAGGTGGTTTGAGTGCCCCATATGAAAAGGCTTCTCATGTTCACGAGAGGCCTGTTGTAAATTGGCTCTGGGCGACTGGTTGCCATCCCTTTGGACCATTCTCTAACACTTCTCATATCAGTGAATTGCTTCAAGATGTTGCATTGGTATGCTCATTATATTATACATAGCATTGGTATATTATAATCCTCTAAGCATACACTCCGTCGTGTTTTATATTGTCTTTCATTTTTAAACAAATCACGACAATTCGCTATCCAAAAGAAAAATGGGAAGTTAATTAATGTGGCGAAAGGAGTATATGGTACTCTGTACTTATAAGTACAAAAGGACTTGTATGTGTATTAATTATTATATCCATCAACATTCAGAGGAACACGATATATGCACGAGTTGATGCTGCCCTACGCCGAATTCGGGAGACTTCAGAGGTTTGCTCTTTTTCTAACTTACTTCGCGTTGTATTGAATGTATTCATATTTCTTTACTATTACTGTAGCATGGTTTTTGGTTTATATCAGGTTGTCCAAACTTTTGCTTCAGAACATCTGAAAACTCCACTTGGTGAACCGGTGAAGGGTAAAAAGAACAAGTCAAGCACTGAGTTGTGGGTGGAAAAATTCTACAAGAAAACAACCAACTTACCTGAACCATTCCCCCACGAGTTGGCTGAACGGCTAGAAAAATACTTGGATGTAACTCTCTCTCTCTCTCCCTTAACCCCTTCCACTACCCTTTTAAATTTAAATGCACACGTCATTTTTATAATGTTATGCATGAAATTGGACAACAGAGCCTAGAGGAACAGCTTGTGGATTTATCTTCACTATTGTACGACCATCGATTACAAGAAGCAGACACAAACAGCAGTGAGATTTTCCAAAGTTCCATCTTCACACAGCAGTAAGCAGTAGCTTTAATCGCGAGATTATAACTCTTAGTTTATGAATATTCTTTCCGTTTGAAACTTAACTAACTCGTCGTTTTTTTCTTGCAATATTTAAAAACAGGTACGTGGAGCATGTTTTGGCGAACGAAAAGGAGAAGATGAAATGTTGTAGCATAGAGTACAAGGTTCCTGTCCAGTCTTCTCAAAGTCTGATATATGCAGGAATTCTATTGGCTGGCTTTTTTGTTTACTTTGTTGTTATTTTCTTCTCTTCCCCTGTAAGATAAACAATATAAAGTAAAGAAAGACTAGAACCGCTTAATTTTTGTTTAGAGTTGAAAGAAACAGTTAGATGGGAACTTAAAGAAACAATATGATGCTTTGATCTGTCCAATGTCACTTGCTTTAAACCAGCATGTTTGTAGTCAGGTGGAAACCCTGCTTTGTATTGAATGCTTGCCAATTCAGGTTTGGAATTTTGAGTGGAGCTCCTATGATATTGGCCTCGTTTGCTAACAATATTTGTGATTAGCGATAGTGTTTTGAATACGAGTACTTTTTTCTAATGATGCATACTAATATTGAAAATGTTATGTTTTCAAAAGTTAAAGCTAAAAGTTGGGTTTGAAGTAATTTCTTGGCTACAACGACCCCCAACACACACATATACTGAGGGTGCTATATAATGGTGTTTGTGCCATAAACAATGTATTTGCGTGACGGTTCACATGATGACTTTTGCCATAGATACATGATGTTTGTGTCATTGAAAATTGCGTCAGTGCAAACTCTTTAAAAACACATGGTGTCTGTGTTACCGGAATATGATAATGATATGTGCGACCGGTTATATCACATGATGTTTGTGACACACTGTTTGTCTCGTTATCGTGTTTGTGTCCACCGGAATATGATGGTAGTAGAGTTAATACTTATATTGGTCCATGTAAATGTACTCATGAGTCAATTTAATTTGTGTAAGTTCGATTGAATCAAATTAGTCTATTTAGTTAGAAAATATGAATTTAGTGATTCTTATGATTAAATTTCTTTGCTAAAGTTATGAGTTATCAGGACTTTTAGTACCCTATGTATTAATATTTGTGTCAATTGAATTCTACTACCTCCGTCCCACTGTCTTTGTCCACATTTGACTTTTGAAACTGTTCATCTAAGCACTTTGACTCATCAAAATCTCTCAATGTGTAAGCCTAAAAATAGTCATGTGTGATCTTGTTTGATTCGCCTTAACATATAGATTATTAATATATAATTTCTATAATTTTTTAATATACAAATTACAAGATAAAATGGATTAAAGAAGTGCATTGGATGGTATGCCAAAAGGTAAGTGGACAAAGACAGTGGGACGGAGGGAGTAGTAGTTAAAATTTTACATAAATTATTTACATTTTTAGTTCCAAAGAAATCCAAATTTTAAGGATCGAATTGACTCGTCAACGAGGGACAGACACTAAGGCTTTGTTTGGGAACAGCGTTTTCGATTAGCGTTAGCGTTTTAGATAAAATTTTAACGGTGCAGATTAATTCTGAAAACGCTAACGCTAAAGGCTACCGTCGGATAGCTTTTTCAAAACGCTAACGCTAATCTCTGACGCTGATGCCAAACGAGGCCTAAAACGTGTAGTAACTAAGTCGGTGGTAGGATATGATGTCATTGCGGACGCAATTACGCACATCACCGTATGAAATGAATGTGCTGACTGCTGACTCCTTTGACCCGCTGCAAGTGGGCTCCAGTTGTCGTCGGAGAAAAAATGTACTCCCGGCTCATTTTTCACCTATAAAATACGGCCCACCAAACACACCCTTCTTTCATTTTTCACCATCGTCAGCCTGCCGATCTCTCTCCTCTCCCTCCTTTCCATTGGCTTCCTGCTCTGTGAAGAATATTATACACACACCTCCCAATCTCCGATCCCCAGGATGTGCCCGACGACCGGCCTCTTTCGCCTCGGCGAAACCTCTAATAAGCCCTCCACCTTGCGCTCCGCATTCCAAGTGCTCGACGTCGACCACGACGGCAAGATCAGCCGCCGCGACCTCCTAACCTTCTACGCCGACTTCTCCGTCGCCGGTCCGTCGTCGGAAGACGACCTTGTTGGAGCCATGATCTCCGTCGCGGATCTGAACAAGGACGGATTCGTGGAGTACGAGGAATTCGAGAGGGTGGTGGCCGGCAGCCCTCAGGTGAAGAATGAGGTGATGGAGGAGGTTTTCAAAGCGATGGATAGAGATGGTGACGGCCAGGTTGGGCTCCAGGACCTTAAGACTTACCTCAATTTCGCCGGCCTTCCCGCCGACGATGAAGACCTCAAGGCCATGATCAAGTTGGGCGGTGGCGATGATAACCGCGGCGGCGGCGGCGGTGTGACCTTCCAAGGTTTTTGCAACATTTTGGCTCTCAGTGGCTGTTGATGATGGCGACAATTAAATAAGCTCTTAAATTTTGTTCATGTTGTTTTACTACTTTTCTCTTTGTTTTTTCTTATTTTTATTAATATTAACCATTTATGGTAAAATAATACAATCATGTCACATTTTGTTTTATGAAGTGAGAAATTAATTTAAGTAAAATTTGCACGATTTTCCTAGGACTTAAATTTTTTTAATTCCCTAAATAGGACTTAATAATGACCTATTGGGAGGAATAATGTTCAGTAATGATGGATATTTATTTGAATAATGACTACTTGATAATGACCAAAAATCCTACATTAGGAAATAAAAACATATGGTCCTATATTGGGAAAGTCATTATGTTTTTGTCCTATTTATGTAAATTTCTCTTAATTTAATCAAGAGCCTTAATCCAAAGTGAGATTTTGAATTTTGGGAGTAGTTTTTATGAACTTATTCGAGCAAAGCTTGAATAACAGACTAGTGACAAACTAGAAATTACAGAAATCTTTGGTGGAAAAAAAAGTCATACAAATACAAATTGGGTTCTTGAAACTGCATCTGCTGGTTCCTTTCTTTCACCTACCAATAAAGTTACATTGTACATCCAAGATGAGCGTGAGGTCTCTCTCTCTCTCTCTCTCTCTCTCTCTCTGTGTGTGTGTATTCATATCCTCTGGGATGGATGGTGCTCTCACGCAATATCAATCTGCCCGTTTTCAACGAGTGGCTTGATCGACTTGTAAGGCAATGCGTACAGATCGTCCGCTTCAATGCGGATAATATCTTCCCCTCTGGTATTTCCAAGTTATGTGGAGGGAAATGACAATCTGTCAGGTGGAGCTGAATGAAAGAAGAAGACAGTAAATGAGAAGTTAGTTTTATTTACCTGTCATCCAGCTGAAAAGCTCCCAAATCCCTCTTACTCCTGCAGATGACGTGAAGGTTCGGACGTGGTTCTGGTACTAAACGACATCCGCGGATAAAGAAATGCAGAGTGATTCATAACATCAAAAAGTTACTAACATTAATTAATTTGACAGGAAAGGTCTAATTTAAGCACGTTTCGGAAACGAGAGAGTGAATTATGCATTTCTGGTTCAATAGAGCATACTTGGACTGTGCCAGCTTAGAGAAGAATGGCATCAAAAAGTGCATACTTAGCAGAAGAAGAAAAAACATACCCATGTCATCTTTCTCGCTGCAAGAAGATTGCTTCAAGTGAGAGTTGAAACCAGGAGGGAACTTTGAGAGCACTGATTGTTCTAAATGTTGCTGTATATCTTCTGCAGACCTGTAAGCATTGTCAAGTTGCTAATAATTACAAGTTCAATTTTCTTTTTCTTTTCCTTTTAAAATACAGTTCCCCTAATATAGGTACCAACCAGAGCATAACAAATTACCTCTGAGCAAATCTTTGTTCTTGTTTTGATAAACGGTTCCATAATTCATCAGATCTTTGGATGTGAAGCACGTACTTCTCAATCTGCAATTGAAATTCTATGTGTTGTGTGAGTAGAGCAAAGAAACACGACAAGTCAGAAAACTAGAACCAAGATATGTCATGCAAAGAGGCAAGTCAGGTTTAGGACAGTAAGATTAATGCTCCATCATTAGTGTGTATCGCAAGCTCTATCTAACTACACAAACTGATCTAGATTGAAAATATCAGTTTCTAAAGAAATTGCACAGAAAAATAGTTTAATTTATTAGTGCTACCTTTTGGAGACGAGTTCTCAAATATGATCTCAATAGAAACATGGTTCTGTCCAGGTCCATCTGGTAAAGAGATACAGTGAGTGGATCGACACCATTTTTAGTGTAATCCTCCACAGTTTCCTCCTGTATGATAAAAATAGACATCGTCAAACTGAGACATGGTGAAATCCTTTGGTGCTTACAAGTTACAAGCATCAATTCACAAGCTCATCAATGAGAAACATTTGTTTTGCTGTTTGGCATACCCCTAGGATTTCCTGTGAGCATTTACGATAGATAGTGGAAGCAGCAATGAAAATCACCAATACAACTGGAAGTTCTCCGCTATTAGTTGAGCTATTGAATTCATTTTTGTGTACCCTTTAGAAAAACAATCTGTTCTTGGATGTTTGATGATATCAAGTAAAAAAAATTATCTGGAAACTTTCCACAAAGTCCTACTAATGCGGAACTCAATCCATTATCATATCACCAAAAAAATGAACTCCATGAATTGCATTTCATCCATTTCACTTTAATATGAGAGCACACCATGCCACCTGATATAGGGTTTGTCTACATATTAAGGTGCCACAAATGGCCCATTTGATCGTTCAAAAGAAAAAAGGGTAACATTTGGTATTATTAATAGCTAAAAACAAAACAAGAACAGATGTTCAACCTTAACAGTTGAGAATGAAGAAATATGTTCTTTTCAAAACATACGTGTTACTCCAATTTACAAAGTAGCAGCCAGTAACCAAGGTTGCAAATTTAGACAAATTGACATTTCAGAAAAATCTACTTACGTAAAATTCAAGTCATTTATCAAACCACTAGTGCAAGGTGAATGTCATAGATGGATGGATTTTCGCTCATTTATCTCTAATGTGATTATGTGAAAGCACACCCCAACCTAATATAGGTTTACATCTACTTAATAAGAAGTTGCTAATGGCCTCTCAATGAGTCAATATTTAAACTATCCTGATCGTACAACACCAACAACCATGCCTTAATCCAAATCAATGGGTTTGGCCACATGAGCTAGTATAAGATATTAGAAAGATAAATATATAAATACTATTCGACATTAACTATTGATGAAGAAGATATGCGATCTTTGCAAGAAATGTTGAGTAATTTCTATTCATAAAATAGCCTTCAAAGTTGCAAATTTAGAGACAAAGTCACATTTTTATCCCACTTTCAGACAAAAAGAATGGCAGCATTGACTCAGGCAGCGCCTTCCACATTGTTGTGCCACTGTTGTCCGTTTCAACAAGGTTAACGAGAAGAAAACAAGAAGCATATAAGGGTATTTTTATTTCTTCCCAAATCCCGCCTCTATTTATCACAAGTTCCTTGCTATTTCAACAGGGGTTGTATTATAAATAACACTCAAACAAGTGGGCCAACAAATTTATATATGATTATGATCCCATTACTCATGTTAGCAGAATGATGAATTTTATAGATTATTAAAATTCTTATATACATCTTTGGATGGAGGATGTATATGCTCAATCAGTTGAGTGCCTCTAATCTGTACTGTCATCAAAGGACCAGAACAAGTATACTATCCTGATTGTCATTACAGCAGCAAACATAGTGGCATAAGAAATACTCAAGTAAAAGTGCACTAAGCCTATTGTCTTATAAAATATAGGATATATCTCCAGCTAAAAACAGTAAAATGCACTGCATTTTTGAAGTTTCTCAAAATGCTTCAAGAAGATTCACTATTATGCATCCCTTGAGCATCTGAAATTTATCTGTGCATCGAGAACTTTGTTTCTCAATGTATTAACAGGCTAAATTTCAAAAATAAAATGATTGCAAGAGCTATTGATTAATGTAATGGTCTTTGAAAAATGACTCATTTTTGAAGAAGCTTTTTTATTAACAATGTTCATCACCCCTTCCCCTCCCTTGAAGAAGTAACACCCTACAAGAGGTGATGTACAAGTGGCACTGTGGCAGATATAGGTATATAGTTTAGCTTGGTATATGAACACACAGAATTATAATGTAATAAGTGATAACAGACTGAAGACTTGCAGATGATGCATTGGATGCTTGTGTTGTTGGCAGCAGGGCTGTTACTCTGGTCGCTACAGACCTTGCAAACATATCTATAAGTCCCCTGAATGGATAAACATAACTACTCCTAACCAGCCCTTATGGTAAGGATTAAATAGTTCTTTTTACAAAGCAGTGCCTTTTTCTGTCAAAACATCTAATGTTTTTTTATATTGTCGTCCCTGGCTAGATACTGTGTCTATGATTATTTTAAAAAGAAAATATATCAATTATACGGCATAACAAATGGCCTTAAACTAGAATATCACGAGTCATGACATCTTTTACCAACCCCCAACCCCCCCCCCGGGTAAAAAACCCAATACCAGCATTGATTTGCGTAATTTAGCTGACCAAGTCTAATAATATGGACTAACAACATACTTATTCTTAACTGCATTTTCATATACTGCTAAGAGATATTAATGTTGTTGGCAAGTTCTAATTTTCTCAATTACTCTAAATAGGTAACCATCTTCATCTTCATAGGGTTGCCGTGCTTATTGGTACACATTGGTTGTATAAACATGTGGGATCCAACTGGGTTGTTGTTGTTGTATTGGTTGTATAAACTATCTGTTTCACACTAACGAATCTGCGGTCTTGCATACTAGTACTTCAATTAATGCTATGAAAATGTAAATCAAAGCCTCCATACTTCAACTGGGTAAATATATATGCTCAGAAATATGTCCAAATAACTAGCATAAAGTATCGAACATGAAATCAGAATCAAATTAGTTTTAGACACAGTACATCATAAGCCTTCAAGGAAAACAGAAATCAAATGGAAATGGGGGGGAGAATCACAAAGAGAAGAAGTGGTGTACCATCAATTGGATCTGTTCGCGAGATCTTTGGACAAGGGCAGCTTCATACCGAAGGATTTCGGGAGCACCCTTTTCGTTCCGCCATACTCGCTTCAACAGCTCCGCGTCCGTGGTTGAAATCAGGGTTTCAAAGTCGTCCATCATCGACGTCCCCGACCCGCCGTCGCCCGAACCCGAATACATTATCCCCCCTTCCTGCGCACCCTGATTCAGTCGTCTTCAGCTCTCTTGGTGAACAGAGCTGTTAAATTGGCGCCAACTTGCCAAGAGTTTAGCGCCCGCCAGATCCTGAGATTCAGTTGGAAACATTGCGCCGGGGCCAAATGATTTTGGGCACAAAAACACAATATTCGGCAGTGAAAGAAGTCATTCATTTCCAATTATAAAAATCACAATATTCATTAGTTTTAATAAATCTCTTGGAGGTAATATGTTGATTATATTTTTATCCTTGCACAATAATTTTTTTTACTATTGTAGATGACCATGCTTGTTCTATTTGGACGTATCTTAGACCTTGTTTAAAAATAATATTTTCGATTAATGATAATATTTTAGATAACATTTTAACGATGTAGATTATTTTAAAAATGCTAACCTTAATAAATGTCAAACGAGACCTTAATAAATATAAATGTGAGGTTACTAGTGTTATATTTTTTGTTTGAAAAAAAATTCAATTCAATAAAATCATTAAAATTGTTTGCTAAAATAGTAACATTGGGTTTCTAAATCACACATCCATCCCATTATCTTTGAGAAATTAAAAAAATTGCTTGGAATTTGTTTATGGGAGAGATAAAATTTTATTTATTGTTCTTTACCAAAATAGAAAATAAATTAAGTACATGGCATTTAACATATATATAAAAAGGTTTAAAAAATTATGAAAAAAAACAAATAGTTTCGTCACAATTTAAATTTTCTGTTTTGTATTCATATGATCAAACTTAATTCAACTCTTGTTACGTAGAATTCTTAATATAGTTTTTAAATATGTAATTTTATTTTTTTATTTCATCATATTTCTCAAATAAATTAAATTAAAAATAATTTTTAGAACATCATAAATAACCATAACACCATAAAAGGAAATACATAATTTAATTTGAAACAAAAAAGTAGTAAAAAATGGTTAAGGTTAACCTTAGAAGTCAAGCAATTGGATTGGACGTCTACGCGTTGGGCGGATTGAACCCATCACAAAGCGCTCTTCGGTTTTCAATCTCATTACGGACATTACCACACAATTCAGTGTGCTATATTGGGTTTAAAGCCAGTTTATTTTCGACTCCTAAATCTTTATATTATAAATTTTATAAATTTGAGAGATGAATTTGTAGAATTGTGACAATTGACGGGTCTACATGGCAACATTTTAAAAATCATCTGTCACCTACTCCATCCGTCCCGCTATATTCGTCCACTTTTGACTATTGGAACTATTCATCTAAGCACTTTGACTCATCAAATTCTCTCAATGTGTAAGCCTAAATATAGTCATGTGTGATCTTGTTTGATTTGTCTTAACATATAGATCATTAATATATAATTTCTATAATTTCTTAATATACAAATTACAAGATAAAATGGATTAAAGAAGTGTATTGGATGGTGTGCAAAAATGAAAGTGGACAAATACTCTGGGACGGAGGTAGTATTAATGACTTGAAGGATGCGGCAA